TTGTTGATCACAAAGTACAAAATAGATGAGGAAAACTAGGATGCCGGGTGTATTCAAAGCGCCGCCATTACTGTCTAGAGTGCATGGAATGGTGCGCTGTGATTGGTTGAGCAGATATATCGCATTCTGCAGAGAAGGGAGACTGGCGTTTGTCGCGGTTTGGAAAGAAAGGGAGATAACATGACAGAATAACTCGGCGGATATTGCATTTTGCGTAAAATTTAAAATGGACTTTTCAATCCCCGACCAGATACAATACTGATTTTGACGGAAACTCAATTTTTTTTAAATGGCGTTTATCGTGTTTTGTAACCAAACTCTTCATTTACTTTTGTTTTTCTTGGTATTCTTTATAATGGTGGTAGCATTAACAGCTACCACTGGTCCTCATGTCATCTCAACAACATGAGGGAGCAACCCCTCCATGTAGAATAATAATAAACTGTGATAATGTGAGAAATGTTGAAGGCGTCTGAATAAATTTTGGTTTGACTGCATCTATTTGATAAATGAAGTTAATGTGTGCATGTTTTTTGTTTCTTTGAACATGGGGATTTTTATGCATATTTATTACTAGTTCATGAAAACAGTGGTTTTTATTAGTAATTATGGTTTGTATATGGTGATTTTGAAAGATTTTCTTTGTCTTTATGCAGGTCTTTGGTCAAATCAGCTATAATGTTCCCACTGATATGTAGTGGATAAGTGTGGTGAGCATTTCATTTTCTCTTACTGCATATTTTTACTTACAAACATGTGCTTTTTGGTAATCACATGGACATTTGTCTTTCAGAGTTTAAGGAGAACTAGTCCTTGGAGGAGAACACCCGGAAACTTCTTTTGGAACTATGGACTGTAATGGAATTCCAGTGGAATCAGAGGAGAGCTTTGCTCATGAGATAGAACAGTTAATTGAGAAGGAGAACTTTTCAAGCATGATGGATTTGCAAGACATTGCTGAATCAGACATAAAAGAATTTGTGTCTGGTTCTCTGCCGCACACATGCTACGAATCATGTTGGCAAGATGTAATGAATTCAGCTGACCTTGAACAGGATAAGCCAGGGGATAAAGAAGAAAATAATGGTAACATTACACCCTGTCTCTTGCCTAACTCAGTAGAGGTTGAGTCCACATTGGAAGCACATTCTGACAAGGCCATATTAGAATCTGCTTTTGAGACAAATGCTAGTCTTGTCGAATATTCCGATATTAGCAGCTGCTCTGACACGGAAGCAAATCTTGATTGCAATTTGAGTTCATCGGGCCTGAGCAACCAGGCTGGTCAGCCTTCAGATGAAGGAGACCTGATTTCAAGTAATACGATGCACTTATCTTCTGCTGAGGTCTGCCATAGTACTGTGGAAGCAGATATGAGTGAAATAAATGAACAGCAGGACACTGGACTTCCAGTGACCGCAGGTGAGCGCAATGAAAGTGTAAATCAAACTGGTAGTGACTGTAGTGAGGGGTTACTTCTTACAAATGCTGAGGTTCCATGTACAGAAATACAAGATGTGGACAATATGAATGGTGCAGTACCTTTGTCAAAAGATGAGCAAATTGAGGAAAGGGAAATGACTTGTGATTTGGAATGTTTTTTGGATCATTGCAAAGAGTTTGTTACCTCTCAGGATGGTTCCACTTGTGCCTCAAATCATGCAAATATTGATACTTCATCGACTTCTAATAGGGATGAAAACATTTGCCCAACCATAGATTCACTAAGTGTTTGCCAATCGGAAAGGACAACCCCAGATCCTGAAAACACATCATCAAACCCTGAACCTGAAAAAACATTTGTGATTTCTGGTGATGGAAAATGTTCACTTGGTGACTACCAATTAGATGTAATGAACCGAAATTCTGAAAACACATCCTCAAAGCCCAACATTCAAGGGAAAATTGAGATATCTGGCCATGGAAAAGATTCTCTTGATGGCTGTCTATTGGAAAGCAACCAACTAGATACTAAAAGCACATCATCAAAACCTGGATTTCAAGAGACAATTGGGGTATCTGGACATGGACAAAATTCTGTTGATAGCTGTCAATTGGAAAGCAACAAACCCGATCCTAAAAGCATCTCTTCAAAACCTGTCCATGGAAATTCTTCTCAGCTAGTAGGACAGAAATGCTTTACATCTGATGATGAACAAGTTGAACGGAGTAGTTTTGGATTCCTTGAGTCTTGTTTTGGTTTAAAAACTACAGCGCAGAACACTGAGGAACTGAAACACCTGGAACATGCACATGCAAACAAAGTCAACGAGTGCAGTCCGTTTAATCACACTGAACCACCAGTTCTTCTGAAAACTGCCTTTGAATCTAATAATAAGATGGATGAGGGAACTGATGCACCAAAAGATCCACCAGTACTCAGTACAGACCAAACATCCAAGACCTCGCTAGATCCTGGACAGCAAAAATGTCTGACTGGCAATGGCACCATTTCAAGCAAAGATTCTTTGTCATATTTCAAGACCCAAAAGGGAAAACTGCAGCCTGTTGTTCTCCTTAAGACAACTGAGAAAAAAACTTGTAATGGAAAAAAATACCATTGCTTTGAGTGCCAAGAGTCGGCACAAAGTGTAGATGAACTAATTGAGCACTACCACTGCATGCATTCTCTCCATAAGTCTCAGTATTGTTCCACTTGTGAAAGTTACTTCACTGGTGGTACATTGGCTGGACAACACTTTTGTGGGAAAGTCGAGCTTAATGACAAGATAAAACCATCCCCCTCGCATACCAAAGGGCTAACTGAGGAGAAAGCAAAGTTCATATGTAGGTACTGTAGGAAGTCCTTTGTTCGACAAGCTTATTATGAAGAACATGAGCTGAAGCACAGAGTTGTCACACATCATAGATGTGACTGTTGTGGATTATACTTTCCTAATGCTCACAAATGTCAAAGACACAAGCGTAAAGCAACATGCACACCTTTGATACTAGACCCTTGTTTACAGACTGCAGATCATTCAGAATCAAGCCATGAAAAGAGCGACATGGCAGACGTGGTTGAAACAGTTGGCTCCAATGTAGAACTTCGTAATTGCTTTGTGAAACTAATGGATGTTTGCAAGACAAGCCGATCACATGAACAAATACATTGTGAAGTATGTGGAAAGACTTTCAGGCTCAGAGCGCAACTGAATGCACACCTTAGATCACACTCGGATGAGAAGCACTTCAAGTGTGACAACTGTGGAAAAGCATTCAAATATACCTGGAATCTTAACAAACATAAAAGAGAGCAGTGTTCTCAAAAGATTGTCCCACATGAAAAATCTTCAGTTCCAGATGGCAAGTTGCCACCAAAGTTTAAATGCCCAATCTGTTTTCACGTTTTCAAGTACTCCTACAATCGTACACGTCATTTGCGTCAACAGTGTCTCAATGAATACATGAAAAAAGGCAAAGGAAAGATTGGTGATAAGTATCGATGCCCTTTGTGTAAAGATATGTTTACTGTGGCCAGCAACCGCAATAGACATATCAAGCAAACCTGCATTAAACTTAAACTCTATACAGCCAAAGGAAAGGTAAAACAAAGAAAAGAGTTAGAGGAACTTAACAATACCAAAAAAAAGGACAAAGAGTCACCATTGACTGTGTCCTCGCAAAAAGCATTGCAGTACAAATGCACTTTTTGTCCAGCGGAGTATTCTAGCAAGTCTGGTTTCTACGGCCATCTAGCAAAGCATAAATTGCTTGGACATGCCAAAAAGGCAATCAAACACAAGCGTGGTAATGCTGTTAATTTGAAAAGTTCAAGCTCTCCTGGGCAAAGACCAACTAGCCAAAAATGTGCTGATGACACAAGACTTCCTTTCTCTTGTCGCTTCTGTGGAAGAGCCTTTGCTTCAACTGACTCATTAAAAAAGCACTTACGACTTCATAAAGGAAACAAACCTTTTCGTTGTTTAGACTGTGGTAAAAATTTTGCCAGGCATGGACACCTAATGGCTCACAAAAATGTGCACAGGAGGAATGTACAGTGTTCAGTCTGCTGGGAAGTTCTGCCGTCTATTGGAGATTTGTTAAAACACAGACAGTCCCATCCAAAAAAAGGCATGCTTAAGTGCCCTGATTGCCCTTTGCAGTTCAAGTTTCCAGTATTTCTGCTTCGACATGTGGCTGTGCATGAGAGAAGGCGCAAACTTAAGGAACTTCTCCCTCCAAAGAACCAAGCTACACCTCAAAAGGTACAAGAAATTTACAAAGAGGAGTTCAAATGTGGTCTCTGTCAAGAAGCCTTCGTTGACTCAAAGGCACTTAGCGAGCATTGTTTAACTCATATGCCTGGACCTTCTGCATCCAAATGTCAGTTCTGCAAACGCCATTTCTCGAGTCGTACTGGGCTTATTCGTCACATTCGCCTTCACACTGGTGAAAAGCCTTTTCCCTGTCCAACTTGTGGCAGGCACTTCCATAGAAAGGAAGTTCTTAAATTGCATCAGGAAAAATGTACAGTGGAGCAACCATCTCCATTACAAACGTCAAGTACCAAACAAATACAGGCAGAACATAGTGTAGACACTGCTTCAAAAAAGACCAGCAAAGTCTATAATTGCTCATACTGCCCACATTCATTTCGTTTTCCAAACAATTTAAAACTCCATGAGAGAGCCCACTTGGCCAAGACAGTTTTCCCTTGTTCAAAGTGTGGGAAGTTTTACAGGAAAAGAAAATTTAAAGATCATGTTGAACTCTGCAATGGAGACCAGATAAAACCTGCTTGCAGAAAATGTGGGAGAGTTTTTACTAGAAAAAACTACAGAAATAGTCACGAAAAGCAGTGCCAGGGCAAGCAGAACAAAACTGAAACCGAAACTGGAAAAGGAACAAATGAGAAGGGCAAATTTAAGCAGCAATGTCCACAATGCTTTAAATGTTTCAGATCTAGCAGTTTCCTCCAGAGACACGTATCTCTTCATTCAAAGGAAACTGCATATACATGCATGCATTGTGGACAGAAATTTGACAGTGAGGATCGATACTTGCAACATGAAGCCTTTTGTGATAGTGTGTTCAAGAAACGTAGATTGGAGAGTTTAAGAGGATCTGAGAAAATTAAATCAATGTTTGTTGAAGAAAAAAATCATAAAGAGGTCCCTGTGGTTCCTGGAGAAAATGGTGAGTCATTTAAGTGCAAATTTTGCACTAAATCATTCTTGAGGGCCAGATACCTAAGGCGCCACATTCTCACTCATACAGAGGTCAAGCCATACCGGTGCAAGACTTGTGAAAGTTGTTTCTCACGCTATGATCATTTAAAACTGCACCAAGCCCGCTGCAGAGGAAAGCGACAACTTGAGGTACGAGTTGAAAAGATGAGTCTCGACAGCTTGAGCACAAGTCCCCAAAGCAAAACCCAGGAAGATGGTGACACATTGCAATGCAAAGTTTGCTCAAAGCAGTTGTCCACCCCAAGTGATCTGAAGCGTCATATGGCCATGCTCCACATTACCGATAAACCTTTTCCCTGCAAAAGATGTGGCAAAACTTACAGTACTAAAAAGACTTTGAGAACGCACAACCTTACAATCAGATGCAAAAAGATTTCAAAGGAAAGCGTGCCATCTGCCAAGAATGATGTTCAAACCCAACCATGCAGAGAAACATCCAAACTTCTGCAACGTATACAGGTACACTACATGAATAAATTTAAATACCAATGTGAGTATTGCCCTCGACGCTTTAAATTATCTGGACAACTGAAGGTGCATGTACGTCTTCATACAGGGGAAAAACCATATGGCTGCGCCAACTGTGGAGAGCATTTCATCAGAACAGACTATTTGAAACGACACTTGGCTAAATGCAGTGGAAAGGGAGAAAAAGAAAAAATTCTTTGTGATAAATGTGGTGACCTGTTTACCCGGGACGCACTGTCTGTACATCAGAAGACGTGTGTCATTAGCTCAAAATCATCCGGATCATCTCAAGAGGTAAATGACAAAGACAAGACCCCCACCGAGATAAAAGGTTTTTCCTGTACTAACTGTAGTGACCGTTTTTTATTGTTCTCTCAGCTCCAGCAGCATTTTTTAGCAAAGCATAGATCTGATCAGCGACAAGAGTCAAATAACGATCAGCAGCAATTGGTATCAAGTCACATGCAAGTCATAAAGCAAGAGCAGGTTGATGAGGGATATGGACAGAACCAAGAAAGCAGCAGTCAGATAAACACAAGGGAACGGCGTGCAAGTACAAACACAGACCTTATCAAGCCTCTTAAATGCCCACAGTGCAACATGCGGTTTTCCAGAAGTGCTGGCCTGGGTATGCACATGCGCATACATAAGGGAGTGTACCCGCTTTCTTGCACAAAATGTCATGTTGGTTTTTGGACCAGAAAGACAATGGAGAAACACAGAAGAAAATGTACAGGTCACACAGTTATCTCGAATAATGGATCTGCGGGAAATTACTTGTGATTTGGAATATTTTTTGGATCACTGCAAAGAGCTTGGTACCTCTCAGGATGGTTCCAATTGTGCCTCAAATCATGCAAATATTGATACTTCATTGGCTTCTAATGGGGATGAAAACATTTGCCCAACCATAGATTCACTAAGTGTTTGCCGATTGGAAAGGACAACCCCAGATGCTGAAAACACATCATCAAAACCTGAACTGACATTTGTGATTTCTGGTGATGGAAAAGGTTCACTTGGTGATCACCAATTAGATGTAATGAACCGAAATCCTGAAAATACATCCTCAACGCCCAACTTTCAAGAAACAGTTAAGATATCTGGCAATGGAAAAGATTCTCTTGATGGCTGTCAATTGGAAAGCAATCAACCAGGTCCTAAAAGCCCATCCTCAAAACCTGACTTTCAAGAGACAATTGGGGTATCTGGACATGGAAAAAAATCTCTTGATGGCTGTCGATTGGAAAGCAATCAACCAGGTCCTAAAAGCACATCCTCAAAACCTGTCCATGGAAATTCTTCTCAACTAGAAGGACAGAAATTCTTTACATCTGATGATGAACAAGTTGAGCGGAGTAGTTTTGGGTTCCTTGAGTCTTGTTTTGGTTTAAGAAGTACAGCGCAGAACACTGAGGAACTGAAACACCCGGAACCTGCACATGTAAAAAAAGTCAATGAGTGCAGTCTGTTTAATCACACTGCCGTTGAATCTAAAAATAAGATGGATGAGGGAACTGATGCACCAAAAGATCCACCAGTACTCGGTACAGACCAAACGTCCAAGACCTTGCTAGATCCTGAACAGCAAAAATGTCTGACTGGCAATGGTACCATTACAAACAAAGATTCTTTATCATATTTAAAGACCCAAAAGAGAAAACTGGAGCCTGTTGTTCTCCTTAAGACAACTGAGAAAAGAACTTGTAATGGAAAAACATACCATTGCTTTGAGTGCCAAGAGTCAACACAAAGTGTAGATGAACTAATTGAGCACTACCACTGCATGCATTCTCTCCATAAGTCTCAGTATTGTTCCACTTGTGAAAGTTACTTCACTGGTGGTACATTGGCTGGACAACACTTCTGTGGAAAAGTCGAACTTAATGACAAGAAAAAATCATCTCCCTTGTATACCAAAGTGCTAACTGAGAAGAAAGCAAAGTTCATATGTAGGTACTGTAGCAAGTCCTTTGTTCGACAAGCTTATTATGAAGAACATGAGCTGAAGCACAGAGTTGTCACACATCATAGATGTGACTGTTGTGGATTATACTTTCCTAATGCTCACAAATGTCAAAGTCACAAGCATAAAGCAACATGCACACCTTTGATACTAGACCCCTTTTTACAGACTGCAGATCATTCAGAATCAATCCCTGAAAAGAGTGACATACCAGACGTGGTTGAAACAGTTGGCTCCAATGTAGAACTTCGTAATTGCTTTGTGAAACTAATGGATGTTTGCAAGACAAGCCGATCACATGAACAAATACATTGTGAAGTATGTGGAAAGACTTTCAGGCTCAGAGCGCAACTGAATGCACACCTTAGATCACACTCGGATGAGAAGCACTTCAAGTGTGACAACTGTGAAAAAGCATTCAAATATACCTGGAATCTTAACAAACATAAAAGAGAGCAGTGTTCTCAAAAGATTGTCCCACATGAAAAATCTTCAGTTCCAGATGGCAAGTTGCCACCAAAGTTTAAATGCCCAATCTGTTTTCACGTTTTCAAGTACTCCTACAATCGTACACGTCATTTGCGTCAACAGTGTCTCAATGAATACATGAAAAAAGGCAAAGGAAAGATTGGTGATAAGTATCGATGCCCTTTGTGTAAAGATATGTTTACTGTGGCCAGCAACCGCAATAGACATATCAAGCAAACCTGCATTAAACTTAAACTCTATACAGCCAAAGGAAAGGTAAAACAAAGAAAAGAGTTAGAGGAACTTAACAATACCAAAAAAAAGGACAAAGAGTCACCATTGACTGTGTCCTCGCAAAAAGCATTGCAGTACAAATGCACTTTTTGTCCAGCGGAGTATTCTAGCAAGTCTGGTTTCTACGGCCATCTAGCAAAGCATAAATTGCTTGGACATGCCAAAAAGGCAATCGAACACAAGCGTGGTAATGCTGTTAATTTGAAAAGTTCAAGCTCTCCTGGGCAAAGACCAACTAGCCAAAAATGTGCTGATGACACAAGACTTCCTTTCTCTTGTCGCTTCTGTGGAAGAGCCTTTGCTTCAACTGACTCATTAAAAAAGCACTTACGACTTCATAAAGGAAACAAACCTTTTCGTTGTTTAGACTGTGGTAAAAATTTTGCCAGGCATGGACACCTAATGGCTCACAAAAATGTGCACAGGAGGAATGTACAGTGTTCAGTCTGCTGGGAAGTTCTGCCGTCTATTGGAGATTTGTTAGAACACAGACAGTCCCATCCAAAAAAAGGCATGCTTAAGTGCCCTGATTGCCCTTTGCAGTTCAAGTTTCCAGTATTTCTGCTTCGACATGTGGCTGTGCATGAGAGAAGGCGCAAACTTAAGGAACTTCTCCCTCCAAAGAACCAAGCTACACCTCAAAAGGTACAAGAAATTTACAAAGAGGAGTTCAAATGTGGTCTCTGCCAAGAAGCCTTCATTGACTCAAAGGCACTTAGTGAGCATTGTTTAACTCATATGCCTGGACCTTCTGCATCCAAATGTCAGTTCTGCAAACGCCATTTCTCGAGTCGTACTGGGCTTATTCGTCACATTCGCCTTCACACTGGTGAAAAGCCTTTTCCATGTCTAACTTGTGGCAGGCACTTCCACAGAAAGGAAGTTCTTAAATTACATCAGGAAAAATGTACAGCGGAGCAACCACCTCCATTACAAACCTCAAATGCTAAACAATTACAGGCAGAACATGGTGTAGACACTTCTTCAAAAAAGACCAACAAAGCCTATAATTGCTCATACTGCCCACATTCCTTTCGTTTTCCAAACAATTTGAAACTCCATGAGAGAGCCCACTTGGCCAAGACAGTTTTCCCTTGCTCAAAGTGTGGGAAGTTTTACAGGAAAAGAAAATTTAAGGATCATGTGGAGCTCTGCAATGGAGACGAGATGAAACCTGCTTGCAGAAAATGTGGGAGAGTTTTTACTAGAAAAAACTACAGAAATAGTCACGAAAAGCAGTGCCAGGGCAAGCAGAACAAAACTGATACTGAAACGGAAACTGGAACAGGAACAAATGAGAAGGGCAAATTTAAGCAGAAATGCCCACAATGCTTTAAATGTTTTAGATCTAGCAGTTTTCTACAGAGACATCTGTCTCTTCATTCAAAGGAAACGGCATATGCATGCATGCATTGTGGACAGAAATTTGACAGTCAGGATCAATACTTGCAACATGAGGCATTTTGTGATGGTGTGTGCAAGGAACATAGATTGGAGAGTTTAAGAGGATCTGAGAAAATTAAATCAATGTTTGCTGAAGTAAAAAATCAGAAAGAGGGCACTGTGGTCCCTGGAGAAAATGGTGAGGCATTGAAGTGCAAATTTTGCACTAAATCTTTTTTGAGGGCCAGATATCTAAGACGCCACATTCTCACTCACACAGAAGTCAAGCCATATCGGTGCAAGACTTGTGAAAGTTGTTTCTCACGCTATGATCATTTAAAACTGCACCAAGCCCGCTGCAGAGGAAAGCGGCAACTTGAGGTACGAGTTGTAAAGATAAGTCTCGACAGCTTGAGCGCAAGTCCCCAAAGCAAAACCCAGGAAGATGGTGACATGTTGCAATGCAAAGTTTGCTCAAAGCGGTTGTCCACCCCGAGTGATCTGAAGCGTCATATGTCCATGCTCCATATCACCGATAAACCTTTTCCCTGCAAAAGATGTGGCAAAACTTACAGTTCTAAAAAGACTTTGATGAGGCACAACCTCACAATCAGATGCAAAAAGATTTCAAGGGAAAGTGTGCCGCCTGCCAAGAATGATGTTCAAATTGAACCATGCAGAGAAACATCCAAACTTCTGCAACGTATACAGGTACACTACATGAATAAATTTAAATACCAATGTGAGTATTGCCCTCGACGCTTTAAATTATCTGGACAACTGAAGGTGCATGTACGTCTTCATACAGGGGAAAAACCATATGGCTGCGCCAACTGTGGAGAGCATTTCATCAGAACAGACTATTTGAAACGACATTTGGCTAAATGCAATGGAAAGGGAGAAAATCAAGAAAAAATTCTTTGTGATAAGTGCGGTGACCTGTTTACCCGGGACGCACTGTCTGTACACCAGAAGATGTGTGTCATTAGCTCAAAATCATCCGGATCATCTCAAGAGGTAAATGACAAAGACAAGACCCCCACCGAGATAAAAGGTTTTTCCTGTACTAACTGTAGTGACCGTTTTTTATTGTTCTCTCAGCTCCAGCAGCATTTTTTAGCAAAGCATAGATCTGATCAGCGACAAGAGTCAAATAACGATCAGCAGCAATTGGTATCAAGTCACATGCAAGTCATAAAGCAAGAGCAGGTTGATGAGGGATATGGACAGAACCAAGAAAGCAGCAGTCAGATAAACACAAGGGAACGGCGTGCAAGTACAAACACAGACCTTATCAAGCCTCTTAAATGCCCACAGTGCAACATGCGGTTTTCCAGAAGTGCTGGCCTGGGTATGCACATGCGCATACATAAGGGAGTGTACCCGCTTTCTTGCACAAAATGTCATGTTGGTTTTTGGACCAGAAAGACAATGGAGAAACACAGAAGAAAATGTACAGGTCACACAGTTATCTCGAATAATGGATCTGCGATGGAAAGTGCAGGTGAATTAAACGACACTGTTCTAGTATTTAACAAGGGTTGTAATACAACAGGAACTGGAGTACTGCAGACTAAATTCTCATGTAAAGATCAAGACCAGGAAAATGATGCAGAGAAAGAAGATGTCTCTATTCACAAGTATCAGTGTTCTGAGTGTGATCAGAGTTTCACCGATGGACTGAGACTCATAAGTCATTTGGAGGAGCATGGCCGTGAGGATCAAGAGCGCAGATCAGATATCCACAGATGCCATGTGTGCAATAAAATCTTTGCTCAAGCTGGTATATTACAAAAGCATGTGAAAATGCAACATCAGGAAAAAATTGATAATACTTGTGAAATTTGTTTCAAGAGTTTTCGTTTTCCATCTGACCTGGACATTCATAGATCTCGTCATGACCCTAGTCGTCCCTTTGCCTGTAACAGTTGTAAGATGCGGTTTTGGACCGCTAAAGCTCTGACCATTCACCACAGGATGGTTCATTTGCACGCACGCCCACCCAACTCAAAAGAATCTAGTGCGAAAGTAAGAACGGAGCAGCCTGAAGTATATAGGTGTGAACCATGTGACAAAACCTATATGTTAAAAAAGTCATTCATGAAGCACTGCAGAATAAAACACAAAGAGGATTTGATCAAATCCCTCTCTGATAATGAATTGAAAAAATCTTCTGGCAGTGCAAGTCAGGAATCAGATGAGGAAGACTCCAGAAATTTTGAAGATGAAGATGACAGCGACAATGACTCCGATTCAGCACCGTACTTTCCTTGCCATGTTTGTGGTAAAACATTCTTAACATCAGAAAGTCTTGAGGATCATCAAAGATGTCATCTTGGTGAAAAACCCTTCGAGTGTGAAGAATGTGGGAAGTGCTTTTTTCAGCTTGCGAACTTGCAACAACATCAGCGGTGCCACAAGTCGGAGTTTCAGTGTCAAATGTGTGGTAAAGGGTTTGTCTCGCTCTTCTCCCTGCGCAAACACAAGCAGACACATATCAGAAAGCGTCCTCACCGCTGTACCAAGTGTCACCTGAGCTTTACACGCTCAACGGAACTAGCTGAGCACATGGTTACCCACCGTGATGAAAACTTTCCATGTGACCTTTGTGATGAAACCTTTTCCTGCAAAACAAGTCGGGCAGAACATCGCAAGATGCACACAGAGCAAGAAGAGGAGCTTCCACCACTGATTCCCCCCAAACCGCCTCAAACAATGCAAGTGACTCCTGCCATCTCAAGTAACGTTGAGCAGTACAAGTATCGCTGTGGAATTTGTCAAGTAAGATTTCCAGACCCAGAGCAACTCTCAGAACATGGCTGCAATCCAGCAAAAGAGCGCCCATACTCATGTCCTGAATGTAACAAGCATTTTTTACATGGTTTCCACCTAAAAAAGCATCAGCTCAGCCATCAGCTGTCGGGTCCACGTTCTTATCAGTGTAATCATTGCAGCATGAGCTTCACCCACCACCACCTTTTTCGCACTCATTTACGAAGCCATGGGAATGAAAAGGCTTCCAAGGACACTAACTTTCCTACCAGTGAAAAGATGGTCCGTGTAGAAACTGTAAAGCGTGACAAAATTTACCAGTGCCCCATATGTCCAGAGAGTTTTTACCAAGCCTTGGACCTCGCAAATCACCTCTCTGTTCATTCTCACATGTGCAGTGTTTGTAATATGACTTTTCCCACTAAGAAAGACCTTGATGAACATGAACAATGCCATTTGTCTGCTGCTACTCAGTATGAATGCACGGAATGTGGAGACAGCTTTCTTGGAAGTGATGCCTTCCGCAAACACCACTGTAGTAATAGAAATGTGACCTTTTCAGAAAAGCACCGTTCAGCGCCATCTGTCTCTTCCTCCAAGAAGCAGAGTTCAGGCACTCGTTTTCAAGCGGGTGATGAAGAAGAGGAGGTTGATGTTGGAGAAGACTTCATTATTTGTCCTATCTGTAAAAGACGGTTCTCCTCCAATAGCAGAAATAGCAGTCACCATAAAAAGCATCATGAGGATCCGCGTCCTTTCAAGTGCTTGGTTTGTAAAAAAGACAAAAAAGACTAACGTTACCTTACGCAGCACCAGCAGATACACAGTGAACGGCCATACAAGTGTGATGTGTGCTCGGAATCCTTTAAAACCGAACCGGCTCTTGTATCTCACCGTAAAATGCATGACGCAAAAAGGCAACACCAGTGCCCAATATGCAGCAGAACCTACCTTACAGCAAAAGATCTTGCAAAACATAAAAGGAAACATGCTGAACATCAAAACCTGAGTGAGGACAACAGAGAGTACCGGTGCGATATGTGCTATAAATCCTTCACCATGTTTGCTCATTTGCAAAAGCATCTAGAAACCCATGTAGGACAAGTGGTCTATGAATGCACAGAGTGTGACAAAGCCTTTGCTTTTCTAAATCTTTTGGAGGAGCATCAGATGACTCATGGTGCTGCTTCTACAGAATCTCTTCAGTCTCAGTCACCAACCCATTTTCTCTATCAAAGCTCAGTAAATGAATGAAGGTGGAATTACTGATGACTCAGTTTCCTGCAATGCAGGTTATTCAAAATCATTCAATTTTCTGAACGTTATTTGTTAAGATAAACTGTACATTGTTGTTTTTACATTGGCCTAACTGCTTTTATCCACTTTGAAATATGATATTGGTGTTTTACCCTAGTTCAGAATTGGTCTGTTAATGTTCATACAATCTGCTCTGTTCTACAGTTCTGTGAACTGCTCACTAATTTTTCTTTGTACAGTAATCAGACTGATGTAAATTAAATTTACGTAATCTAGATTATGTATGAAACTATAGGCATATGTGCATGAATGCGGTTGTTGGAGATGTTGATGTTCCACAGTACAGTTCACAAGGATGTATAGTAAATCCTGCGTCATTCCTCCATTTTTGACCTTGCTTTAAATATCCTTATGAAAGTTAGAGGAAATCTGTAGATTAATGTTAATGTTTCATAGTAATGCCCAGCCATGTTAATTATTTTTTTCTTTCTTTGTAAATATTTAAGGTCAGGTTAAGGGGTTATTACACAGTAGTTATATATGATGTGAATGCCTTTGAGTTAATGTTATTACATAATCCAGATTTACCTTTTTCTTGAGGAGTCTAACTTGAATGGCTTTCCTCAAAAAAAGTAAACTTCAGGCTTGATAATTCTGTATCCATTCTGTATGTGTTTTAATCTACATATCACCTCTCTGTTCATTCTCACATGTGCAGTGTTTGTAATATGACTTTTCCCACTAAGAAAGACCTTGATGAACATGAACAATGCCATTTGTCTGCTGCTACTCAGTATGAATGCACGGAATGTGGAGACAGCTTTCTTGGAAGTGATGCCTTCCGCAAACACCACTGTAGTAATAGAAATTTGACCTTTTCAGAAAAGCGCCGTTCAGAGCCATCTGGCTCTTCCTCCAAGAAGCAGAGTTCAGGGACTCATTTTCAAGCAGGTGATGAAGAAGAGGAGGTTGATGTTGGAGAAGACTTTATTATTTGTCCTATCTGTAAAAGACGGTTCTCCTCAAATAGCAGTTTAATGGAGCACCATAAAAAGCATCATGAGGATCCGCGTCCTTTCAAGTGCTTGGTTTGTAAAAAAGACTTTACGAAGAAACGCTACCTTACGCAGCACCAGCAGATACACAGTGAACGGCCATACAAGTGTGATGTGTGCTCGGAATCCTTTAAAACCGAACCGGCTCTTGTATCTCACCGTAAAATGCATGACGCAAAAAGGCAACACCAGTGCCCAATATGCAGCAGAACCTACCTTACAGCAAAAGATCTTGCAAAACATAAAAGGAAACATGCTGAACATCAAAACCTGAGTGAGGACAACAGAGAGTACCGGTGCGATATGTGCTATAAATCCTTCACCATGTTTGCTCATTTGCAAAAGCATCTAGAAACCCATGTAGGACAAGTGGTCTATGAATGCACAGAGTGTGACAAAGCCTTTGCTTTTCTAAATCTTTTGGAGGAGCATCAGATGACTCATGGTGCTGCTTCTACAGAATCTCTTCAGTCTCAGTCACCAACCCATTTTCTCTATCAAAGCTCAGTAAATGAATGAAGGTCGAATTACTGATAACTCCGTTTCCTGCAATGCAGGTTATTCAAAATCATTCCGTTTTTTTGAACGTTATTTGTTAAGATAAGATCAACTGTACATACAATTCATTGTTGTTTTTACATGGGCCTAACTGCTTTTATCCACGTTGAAATATGATATTGGTGTTTTACCCAAGTTCTGAATTGGTCCGTTAATGTTCATACAATTTGCTCTGTTCTACAGTTCTGTGAACTGCTCACTTAATTTTTGTTTGTACAGTACTCCGACTTGTGAAAATTAAATTTATGTAATCTAGATGATGTATGGAACTATAGGCATATGTGCATGAAAGTCATTGGAGATGTTAATGTTCCACAGTACAGTTCACAAGGATGTATAGTTTAGTATGTATAGTAAATCCTGCGTCATTTTTCCATTGAAGTAATTTTTGACCTTGCTAAATTTACTAGCCATATAATGCATTTTTAAATATCATTATGAAGGTTAGAGGAAATCGGTAGATTAATGTTAATGTGTCATAGTAATGCCAAGCCATGTTCTTTTTTTTGTCTGTTTGTAAACATTTAAGGTCAAGTTAAAGGGTCATTACACAGTAGTTATATATGATGTGAATGCCTTTTAGTTCATGTATTTTATGTTTATTGAGAATAGTCTAACTTCAATGGCTTGCCTCAAACAAAAAAAAGTAAACTTCAGGCTTGACAAATAATGCTGTATCCATTCTGTCTGAGTTTAATCTACATCCGTGCTGACATACATGGCTATGAAAACCTGATGTTAAGTTTTACTTTTATATGGCAATATTGAAAATTTCTTCAACTAGTAAAAACATTTACATCTGTTTTGTTGTTTGAGCAGTTTCTTTCACTTTTGGAGTGATTTGAGGTACAGGTCATAATAAACCACATTTTATATCCACTTAAATATGGCTTCACTAAGGAAGTCTAATTTATAAAAAAAACTCAACAGTCAGTAACTTGGTGTGAATTTTATTGAACGCATAAACTATTGTTATACAGGATTGTTCTCATACTGGGAAATGGTTTTTGTAGTAACTACTAACAACTGAATTTTTATAATGACTGGAGACCAACCTGCTAGTCAGTCAGGTATGTATAAAATACCCCTCCATAGTGCCTGAAACCTACATTAGAGGGTAGCCTCAAAGTGGGTTCACTTATATAAACAAAGAGAGAGCTCAATTTTCCACAGTGAAAAAAAAAACAAGTATTAGTCATGTTAATCTGTAATTTTACGAGTTAAGGTTTTTCTTTTTTATATTCACAGATCAGGGCCAGTCTTCCTGACCTGGCCTATACCTGCTTTTTTTACCTTTAGTATTACCAATCATGGTTATGTAGACATTGGATTAGGAGTTTCAGCATCTCTCAGTTAATTACAGTCCCTACTGAGATTTTTGTTTTATCTTGTAATTGTGAATCTAAAGCAGCTATATCTACAGGTCAAAAGCTACCAGTATAGTCATTGGTTCTTTTAGACTATATGGTCTGTCTTACGACATTTGGCTCAAGATTCGGAGTGTGTAGTGCATTTGCCCTTGGTATTAGTGTACATTAAAAGTGAAACCTCTATCATCAGTTACTTTATTTTTGCCTTTCATTTATTTTTAATTGAATTGAATTGATTTAAGAAAATATTATGGTTCCCCCAATGGTTCTTCTAAATTGATAACTGACCAGATATATCTTGAGTTGACAATAATGGCTGATTCTAAACAATGGCCAGAAGATATCTCGAGATCAGTTTGACTTAAAACTGAGTGATATTTATGATTGTCATTGTATGAATAAATTAATAATACTAAGGAAGTTCTAACACAAAGGCACTACATGATACTCATGTTTTGTTGACCTCTACAAAACAAAATATAGATAATATTTCTGCATCATTATTATTTTACTGTTTTCCATACCATTCCATGTTAACCATATAGCTAATGAAGAAATGTGTTTATGGAACCACCACATGATCATCAATCGTTATAGTGAAATCAAATATAAACTGGTTGCTCTGTTTTAGAACAAAGTAGCTGGTTTCTTGGTTGAAGGAGTAGCCTAGTTCAGCCCTGCTGCTTCCTATCAGCAACCTCTTCAATGGTAAATGGTTCTTTCAGGTGCAATATTCTTTGTAGCAATTTCCTTGCATGTGAGGCCATTTTGATGCAAATTGATGATGGCTGCACGTGTTTCTTTGGAGGTAACCATGTCTAACAAGAACACGATTGTAAGCGCTTCTTCCCTCCTTTTATAGCAATCAGTCTGCTCTTACAATCTAATTAGTATAATAGTGATTTCACCTGACTAGTACTCATTCACAATTCACATGTGCTGCTGATATGATTAGTCAATTAATGTTAGCTGGTCATTTTGTGTCAGGATCAAAAAACAGTGAAATTTGTTTTTTTGTGAAAAGTTCATTTTTTGGCCAATTGAGCTTTTAACAATTATTTAAAATGCATCTGATCACTCTACACAATAATCTAGAAACAATGTGAATGAACACCACAACAGCTTAAGCAGCAAACTTTGCAAAACACAAAATTTATGTCACTGCCAAAACTTTTGGCCATGATGACTGTAGTAAGACAGTGATATTTAAAGGCCAAATTACCTTAATGATGATGCATACTTTGTACAGGCAAGCAGAAGAACCCAGAATATAAACACAATGTGCAAAGTTTAATATTAAATGTTTTCCCATAAACCATGATAAAGAAGACACTTAACAATTTAGCGCATTGCGTTCATGTTCCGGACTCAATTGCTTGCCAGAATAAAGCATGCATGCCTCATCAATTAGGTGTGTACTGAATTTGATCTTTTTACTGTTTTAAAGGCACTTTAGTGTTTTCACATTAAACGTTTTAGAATGTAGGCCTACCACTGTTTTTAGTGATTGAAATATTGCGGCGGGTGATTTATATGGATTGCTAATGGCCAAAACTTTTAATTTTGTTCACATATCTTTGTTTTATTCTTTTGAGGGGTAGGCCTAATCTAAATTATTTTTGGATTGGAACAGATCGAAAATCGACAGGCTTGTGCTGCAGTTCTATTGATGTTTTGCCCGCCAGGTCTTCGAGCCAGTCACGTGAATGAAAACTATGAATTAGTAATATTTGTATTTAATGAGAAAGGTGTAGGTCTGTTTCTGGGGGTAAATCGGACCGGTCCCTCACACCAGTTGATGGCGGTATATTTAAGCCTTAGTGAGCAACTAGGATAGAGGTGATTCAAAACCAAGCCCTTAGAATATGTTGTGGAGCGTTTAGATCCTCTCCTGTGACAGCTTTGCAGGTAGAAATGGGTGAAACACCACTAGACATTCGTGAAATTCAGCTTAAAATGGTATATTGTACTGGTATTAAAGGTCATTTTACCAATCATCCAGTAAAAAAAATATTGGAGAGCTGCTGGGAATATGAGCAGACATATATGAATAGTTTTGGCTGGACAGTAGGCAAGCAGGCTCAACAAATAGATATCAGTAATATCGATATTAGCCCCACGGTGGCTCTGCCAGTATATCCACCTTGGTTTTTTTCTATGCCAACAGTTGATTTGCAGATATTTAATTTAATAAACGAAAACAAGAAATATGTTCCAAAAGCGACAATAGTGCAGCAGCATTTAGATAGTCATTACTTTCAATTTTTCAGATTTATACAGATGGTTCTAAAGACCCAGAAACTGGGCGTACAAGTGCTGCCATGCATATTCCTCACTTTAAATATAAATCTGCATAAAAAACTTATAATATATCAGTATATGCAGCAGAGATGATCGCTATTCAGATAGCTTTACAGTGGGTGGAAGAAATCCAACCAACAACAGTGGTAATTGTGCAGATTCATATTCTGCACTCACAAGTATACTGAGTGGAAAATCAGAATCTAGACAAGATATTTTATTAGAAGTACTGCAAAGTTTGTACCGAATACGGCAACTGAGAATTCTAGCAGAATTTGTATGGGTGCCTGCTCATGTTGGAGTGGAAGGAAATGAGGAGGTAGACAAGATAGTGAAACAGGCTCTTAAGCACACAAATATTGACATACATATACCCTTGAGTAAATCTGAAATTAAAGGTTTAATTAAAGTAGCTGTCAGAAAGATATGGCAAGAGAGATGGGATAAAGGTAACAAAGGTAACAAAGTGTATAATATAAATAAACAAGTAGGACAAGTAAGAACTGCTTATGGTAATAGAAGGGATGGAAGGGATGTATCTCGATTGAGAATTGGACACTCTACTCTTAATAAATCACTCCAGATGATAGGAAGACATGAATCTGGTCAATGTAATCATTGTGGACTTCCAGAAACTGTAGAGCATGTGCTGATTAACTGTAGGGCATATGAAAGGGAAAGAATACAGTTAAAAGAGGAATTAAAATCTGACGGCATTAATTCTATGACATTACAGAGTGTGTTAAACAGTTCTCATAAAAATTCTATGACTTCTATGACAGTGTTAAACAGTTCTCATAAAGGTTATAAAGCTCTTATTAATTTTCTGAAAATAACAAATATAACAAATGTAATATAGGTAGAAGGTATTTTTTTTTTGTTTTTTTTTTTTGTTTTTTTTTGGTTGTTTTTGTTTTTGTTTTGAGAATTAGCATTTCCCTTGATATCAGCGCCTCACACTCCATCCCAGTAGGTGGCGGAATATGCACCAAAAGCTGGTTTGCCAACCGCCATTAAACATCATAAGAAGAAGAAGAAGAAGAAGTTGTGCAAGAAATTGTTACACTGCAGAAATGGTCAGTGGGCTATTTACATACTTTCTGATGATATTATAATTCAAATATGCAATGTGGTCTGGCCCTGTGTTAGCAGAGTACTCCTGGCACATGCTACATGTGCACCAGCCATTTTACCTGGCTTCAGTAATCACATTAGATGGCTAGCTGCAGCTACTTTGCATATCAGTATTTGTGAATTGTTAGGCCTCTTATGTCAGATCAGTACAACATTGCCGACTTCTGATCATATTTCAATAACTAAACAAGCATTGAAAAACAACAGGAGCCAAGAATGCTGCACTGGTCTAATCACGTAATCATCAGTGCTCTTGGGATAACTGGAGGTAAATATCAAACTGAAAAGATGAAATTCTCCAAGGCACTCGTAGTAAAGCTAAAAAGCCTTTAATTCACTGAGCTATATGTTCTGTCTGTCGTTTTTGAACTTTCCTTTTCTCTTAATTCACAACAACTTCTATCTGCGGAACTGTAGCTGTTTTACGTTAAAAGCTTCAACGTCACTTCATTTACCATTTACCAAAACTCTTAAAGTGACCGACATTCATTCTCTTATTAACATAACAAACAAAATACTTCACCCAAACATCAGATTATTAGTCATGCAACACTACATCATTAAAAATGTTAAGTGTAGATCTACGTAAGTGTAGTTTAGGCTACACAGCCTTCTTTAGGATACACATCAATTGTTCAAACAACACTTCTTAAACAATTAGTAAGCAATCATCAAAGACAGCTGGTTAATCAGTGGGAGTTGCTAAGGTTCTCCTCTCAAACAAACAAACATGTTTTGTGAAAGCATTATTTGTTTCATATATTGTTTTACTAATACAGAAGTTCTTTTGACCTGTTAGGATTGGGAAACCAAAATTAAGGCATTGAAAAGACCGCAACAA